TGGTAAGCTTAGAAACACCATATTTCAAATTTACGGATTTGAAGAATTAAAATATTACTTAAAGCTAAAATTCCTTAACATTTCCAAAAAAAAATGTTAACCAACTTTATTTACCAAATTTTTCGAATTTTTAATTTCGTATCGGTTCGAGTATATGCAGAGTGTCCGGTACTCAATGGTATTCTCATATTATTTAGAGTATTATTAAGAATATGAAGTAAAAAAGTTTGTATAAATAGGATTTTAATTAATTTTGAATAGTTTTGCTATAATTACTTTGATTTTGCTCTATTAATAAAAAAAACGCTCTTGTAAGTAATAACAAAATTAAAATTTTCTTGTGTTATATCGAAATAAAGGTCAGAATACAGTGTTCTTCTTCATACAAGAAGAATAATGAATACCATAAAGATTTGACTTTGTACTTCAATATTTGTATATTAATATGCAGTTAGAAGAGGTGTTTCATTAACTTTAAACTTGAGTTTTTTGTTCGTCTGAAGTCATTCTATCAATCTGCTTTTGGAATACCATTCAGTCTCGGACACTCTGTGTATATAAGTAATTTTATTTTAAGTTACGAATACTCCATTTAATCGAATCAAGAATAAGCACACCAATTATTTATGAACAGCAAATTCTCACTCAGATCAAAATAATAATGATTCCCCATATTGAAATGAAATCGAACCTTCCATTAAAATTTTTAACATTTCAATTCTTTGAAACTATTAATTAAATTTATTACCTTTTTTTGGCACAAACAAAAATATGGTTTTAAAATCGCCATTAGTATGTAAATTTTATACATAATATTTAAAGTGAAAATATTATCCGCCTTCCCATACTCATATTTAAAAGGTTTTAGAACCTTTTATAATTATATATAATGACAATTAAATGTTTTGTTATAAATTCTAAATATGACAGGTTCGTTTATTTAATCTGCTAAATTTTTCGATCTTTTAATTTTACGATCAAGATTTAGGAATTTTAAAATTTAAAAAAATGTCAAGAATGAAATGAAACAAATTTTTGAAATTCGTTTAGAAGTGTTTGGGAAATCTGGAAGAATTGTGAAACAAAATTAAATAATTATTATGTGCGCTACCATAAACGTGGTATACATACACTAATTTTTAAGAACTTGAATAATACAAGGAAGCAATATTTGTGACCTCATAAAATATTGCTCAGAATCAAAATTTTAACGACGTTTTTCAACGGTCCATCCATCCGTTTATTACTGAGCTGCTGATTTGAGTACGAAAGGAGTCATATGAGTTTTATGATTATAAAAAAATCAACTTACTGAATAAGCGCTATTAGCCATAAAAGGTCCATAAGGGCTTTAAAAACGTCAAAAAATATAATCATACCGCGAAAAATATCTTGAAAATTTTTTATATTTTATTTACAGATTTTTTTATTTGGAATCAATTTTTTGAAAACTGTTTTACAATGTCCCGAAAAAGGTGCCAATTTGAGGCTCTGAAAACTTTTACATAATATGGTTCTGCGCCATATTACTGAAAAGTTCTCGAGATGCTCTGGAATTTTTATAAAGCGTCACGGCATCTGCTTTTAAAACAAAACCCTTTATAGTATTTTTGAAATATTTACTATATTATATTGATGTCATACACTATTATACCAAGCTATTAGACTATCCAACAACTGTCAAATTAGCTCACTCAAAAATCCACACAGATGCGATTTACAGATTGACCAAAATATTAAGCGCACGTAGACAACAGAACTAACCTCACATCAGTGTTGATTAAATCTACCCAAATCAAAATATTTTTATTTATTTAATTATTGGTTAAAATTTTAGCATCTTTAACAAAAATTTAAATCTTGAAAAATTTTTATTAGCCTTTGGTTATTTCAAGCACAAAAGAAACTCTAATTTAATCATTTATGTTTTCTCATTCAATTTTATTGCTACGGTTTTTATAGTGTGATTTATTATTCTATTTTTGTTTTTTAAAGAATTTTACACCATAGCCATGTTAGATTGTCTTATAATTTATTAAGAATGGGAAATTTTTAAATAAACCATAAAAATTGACACACTAAAAATTAACAATAATTATAAAACATAAGCAAAATAAAAAAAAATCAGAGGAAAACAAAGAAAAACAAAGGAAAACAATGTAATAAAAATGCAAGAAGAACAAAAACAAAATAAATTTACCTTTGTCTTAGCCATTTGGGGTTAATCATTCGTTGAATTTCAGGTAAAGTGACAAAAAACAAGAAAAAAAAATTAAGAAAAAAAAGACACGAAAACCTCACGCTATTGAAAGTAAAATTAAAAAAAATTAATGAAGGTGAAATAACTTTAGTGTCAATTGTTATGTTTTTTTGCACTCTTTTATTAAAATTTAAAACTGGGCTTAAAAATTAAGTATGGTTAAAAAGTTCAGATAAATAACATTTGTATACATTAGGATCCTTCTTTAATTTATTTTGCTATAGTAAGAAACACAAGAAATAATGTATAGGGTTACACATATTTATAATTTCAAATACTTTGCATTGGAATGAATGGGAAATTTTAAACAATTTTTGAATGAATCTACTGAAAATAGTGATAATATTATATTTTAATGTTCAAAGACTTATATATTACGGGTGGTGCACTAAGATGAATTGAACGATTTGAAATAACTCACTAAATTGAATTCACCCAATACCGAATAATTTCTACGACATATGAACAACTTACTTCGATTTCATGTCAATCGCTCCAACCACATTCTTTTCTCTCACAAAGTAATTCACTATTATGAACCTATTACGAAAACGTGGTGAGCTTTATTTTTCTTTATACAGGAATGAAAATTTAAGTTATGCATATGAGATCTTATTGAATAACCCATTTAATAATTTTTAATTACATATATTTCCGAATTAAATTTTTATGTAGTCGTTAAGAATTATATAATAAAATTTAAAATGAAATCTATGTAATTAAAATTTTTGCAATAAAAATTTCTGATGACTTAATATTTCATACATTTATTTTGTAATTAATCATTTTTAGTATTTCAGTTTAGATTTAATATGTGTATGGGGCGAGTAATTACGTCAAATAAATTATATACAGAAAAATATGATTTTAAAAATATTAAGTAATGGTCATTTATTATATTTATTTAAGTAGTTAGGTCAGAGGCTATTATAAATTATGTGAGGGTCTATATATTCATTTGTATTGTATTTTATTGTACTCATGAATAATGTGTTGAAGTTAGTGTTATAATATTATTTGAACAAATTAGAATTTTAGTGCACAACACTCTGTTTTAATTTTCAATTTACCACCTAATTTTTCATCTTGGTATAAGATATTATAATTAAATAATAATATTAAGAGTTCGATAATATTGATTAAAGTTAATAAATACTCATTTTGATTGACGTTTAAGAAATTTTACTTAAAACGAGAATTTATGTCAGAGAAAAAAATTAGTTTCATGTCAACTCTGTAACACCCGTACGAATTTGTTAACCTATGTGCAAGTAAATATGCTATAGTTGATTATGATTTTATATTGCCGTACTATGATTTTAAATTGTACATACTATGATTTTAAATTGCCGTACACCATATTAATTTAAGCAAAATTTCAGTACTGTGATTTCAATAATTGCTAAGATATTGCAATTGTATGCCAGCTGCCACAAAGAGTCAAAAAATTTTAATGATTTGTATCACACCTAACAGCCATAATACATTTGTTTCTAAGATATACAAACGAAATTTCAATAATATAGCTTTTATAATTTTTTGAGATATAGTCAAATAAATTTTAAAATTGTATAACAGCTATCTGAACCAGTACCATGATTATATCCAATTTAAATAAGGTTTTATAATAAATCCAATTTAAATAGGGTATTATAGTTAGAGTTATTGTTGACACGCACGAACAGACAGACGGACAGACAAAGCTAAATCGACTCAGAATTCGACACTGATCAAAAACATATACTTGTGTCTATATCTCAGGCCATTATTTCTTAGCGTTACGGAAAGGCAAATTTAGTATACCCTTCGAACATATTATGTTCGTACGAGTATAAAAATTATTGAGTCGGGAAAGAAAATTATTATCGAAACTATAGAGAATCAAATATTTATAATTCAAAGTCGATTCTTTTTCTAACTAAATAATATCTATTTCTACTAGAATTTATAAAAATCTTCATTTTTGATACGCGATTCTATTTTTACACATAATTTCTTATAATTTTTACCTTACCATTTAAATTATGGTTCCTTAGACCTTTATTTCTTTTGACTTTTTCTATTTATTAAGTGAACATTTTAATTTAATTTTGCTATTTATTATTTTAATTTTTATACTTTTATTTTTTATTCATATATTTTGTATTATTTCATAAAAATTAATTAATATTTATTATTTTTAAATTTTTTTCAATTCATTTTTAATTTTCGGCTCATTTTAATTCATAATATGGGATAAAATAATGTAAATATAATATTCACAATCATCATTCACAATCATTCTTTTAACGCACCATTAATGCACCATTGAAATAAATTATAAAAATTAAATAATAATTGTCTATAAATTTTATATTTTAATTTATTTTTTTTTGCTGGAATCCTGTCTATAATCTATGAATAAAATTAAAAAACATTTGTATAAAATGTACAAAAAATAATATTATTAAAAAATTCATTCGTTCACAAAAAATAAAAAATTCACAAATCAAAAATTTTTTCATTTTTTTTTTGTCATTCACAATAATTAATTAATTTGTAACAATTTGCAAAACAAAAACTCAAAATCATTCACAATAATTTTATTTTTCTTATTTTATAAATTTTCTCTATTCTTCATTACTTTTCATAAAAATTTGTATATTTTTTTTTTGTATAAAATTATTTAAAATTATTTTTAAAATGCAAACATTTAAATATTAAACACAATCAAAAAAAAAAAAAAAAACAATATAAACAGATCGTGTGGCACTTGTTGCAGCAGCACCACCAAGTTATACCCGTATGTATCATTATTTCCCAGCACATGTGACACATCCATTTTGTTTTTATCCACAACCTCCACCACCACCCCCACCGTTATCGCCATTACCGCCGCCATTAAAAGCTATCGGAAGCTCATTAGCCTCAACACCAGCACAAATAGCACAAACACTGAGGTATCCAGGTAAGGTTTGTATTTTATGTATATTTGTGTGAAATCATTTGTACTCTAATATTGTAGATAATATTGGTTACATAATTATATAAATAATAAAAATTCATTTCGCATCAACCTAATAAATTTCCTTATTCCTAATAAAAACAAGAAAAAAAAAACACTGACTGCTTTTAAGTTTTCCTAATTAAATTTGGAAAATTTTTATTTTTTTAATTTTTAAGTATTTTTTTATAATTTTTTTTATTTTTAATTTTTTTCTTAATATTTTTAATTTTGTATTATACAATTATTTACAAAAACACTAAAAAAATACTCTGTAAATACTGAAAACAAAGACTGTACAAGAATTAGAAAAAAAAACATTACGAACACACATATGACACGGGGAAAACTTTATCATCAAAATTATTTTATTAAGTAACTAACATGAACTCACAATTGCACTGTACATAACATTATTAGATTTTATAATATATTGACTTTTACAGGTAATTTGTTAATTAATAGTGATTAAATTTTTAAGGAACTTAAAACCTCTATAATTCATGAATCATGAATAACCTATGACGTATATAGGAGACTTTTTTAAATAATAAGCTTACATTATTTGAAATTTTCTTCAAAATAATTAAATATTTAAAACCGGCCCGCAAATACTTCCAGCTTCCGAGCCCTGACATATCCCAAACATTATTCAATTCGTACCATAGCTAAAATAAACTCATATATTAAATTTCATGAAAATCTATTAAGCTGAATTTTGTGATACACGCGTCGACATACAGACCGACATCGCCTAAAAATAGTTTATTAACGGTTCTCTACCATGGGTGTTTCCACCAAAAACTTGATTCGTTAAATTTGTGGTAATCACATAAGCTCCCTTATTGTATGCAAAACAATCGAAAATAACTTAAATCCTCTAATTTTAAATAAAATTATACTCAGGGAAATTTGCCAATTAAATTGTACTTTTATAGATGGAAACTATAAAAACTAATACTCAAATTGTGTAACTAACTAACTAAAATGAAACCACATACATAAATATAAATTAATTATAATAAATTAAAAAAATAGAACTGAATTTGAAAAAAAAAATTCACAAATAAAATGACACTTACAGAAGTTTTTCAAACACGAACACAAACAATAATTACACATAAAATTTTTGCAGTACAATATTGAAAACTTTAATTAATAAAAAATGTACTAAAATTTCTATAACTTTTCACATTGCTACAAAACACAAGTTTTATTTTATTCTTTTGTTTTTTTTTTTTCTTTAAAATTTTTAATTTTTATGTCACAATTTATTTTTTAAATAAAATAATTTAATTAGACTGAATGAATTTCACTTTTCATACGTTTTTTTTTCTCTCTTTTTCTTTTTTTTTTAATGAAATTTACAGGTTTATTCATACGTCCCGATGAAGCTAACCTATATACCACATTGGAGCCGACATTAAGTAGTAATCCGAATGTATTCTTTCAACGTAGTGGTGCCGTACATCCAGGAATGATGTACTAATTATTTTAGTTTAAAATTAACTGTGTATAATTATAAAAAAAAAAAAATTTAAATTGTGCTGAGACGAAACGAAGAAGTTTTCAAGAATTATGTTAGAAACGAAAAAAATTTCAAAATATTCAAATGATTGATGAACCGTCCCCTAAAGTTATACTATTATAATATAATTACTTCGTTCCTCACATTTAATTTAGTAAAATTTAATAATTTCAGAAAAAATTTTGATATCACACCTAGCTATTTAATTTTTAAAGGAGTTAGTTTAAGTAACTGTTCTGGCTTTATTTTGCGTATACTTGTTAATGAGCGACATTTCAAATTCTTTATAATAAAATTAAAAACTCTTAATTTAACTCGCGTGCGCAAGCCACTATTTGCGTGCAAATGCCACTATTTTTAATAAAACGTTTTTAATGTATGTGCAGCTATTTTCGATTTAAAAATATTTTCTTACATTTTTATAAATTCACTGACAATTTTCATAATTATTGTCAATAATGTCGTTTTCGTGATATTATACAAAATAGCATACTTTTAGGGGACAATATTATTAATCAAAATATTGCAAAATTTTTGTATGCAGCTCTAAAAGCTGAAATTTGTGAAGATTTTATTTTGTGTATAAAAAAATTTTTTATTTTTTTAAATTTTTGAAAAATAAAAGAAAATTTTAATGAAAATATCAAAATGGCACAATTACTGCGTTGTCGCGATTCTCAACTATTTATATGGTTAAATTGATTTTTCACAATTGAATGGAAAGAAATCAATGGCACCAATTTTAACTTAATTGAATTTGAATTTTTATATTAAATTTTCAATTAATTTTCGTACAATATTTGAGAATCGCTGCAACTCAATCTCATTTCAAAATTTAATGATAATTATTTCCTGTATTTTACATTATTCCTTTGTGATTTTATACAATAATTTTAAAATTAATTTTTTTTTCTATTTTCTTATAATTATTATAATTAAATTTAAATTAATTAATATGTTTTAACAAAACCAGTAATTCATTAAAATAATAAAGGAAAAAATTAAACTCTCAATACAAAAAAAAAAAAGAACAAAAGAAATAAACCGAATTCTTATAGAAATAAGTAAATTTTGTACAAGATTTTTTGTTGCTACAAAAAACTGCTCCCAGAGCAACCAGAAGCAATTAATAAATGAAAAATAATAAATAACAAAATCTATTGTACAATTTATAAAATTAATTTTTAAAACTAAATAATTACCTATAAATAATATTTTTTTGAAAATATTTACTAGATGCTCCTAGGGAGTAAATAAGAATCGAATAATATAAAAATAACGAATAAAGAAAATTAAGAAAATCTTTTCTAGCGTAATTTATTATTAATAATTATTAAAACTTATTTTTTTTTAAATATTAAAGATACTATAGATTTAACGAGATTCCCGTTTTCAAGCAATATAATTAAAATTATTAATTATTATTTTTAATAAGAGAAAAAACGAATTGATTTTTTTTCAACCGATTTCTTTGTATTATTAGTGATGAAATTTAAAATGTTTAAATTAAAATTAATGAAAAAAATGTACTATATAAAATTAAACAAAGAAGATAAAGACAAAATTAATAAAACAATTTTGTACATAATTAAAATTAAAAGTTGGAATTTTGATTAAATTTCGAATTATTTTTCAATTAATTAATAATAATAATAATATTGTGTATACTTTCTAATAATTAATTAATTTACTCTTCATAATTCGAAGTGATTTTTTACTTAAGTTCATTTATTATATAATTTTATAAATTCTAATTAATCCTTAATTAGGCTAATAGTCATAGTTTTAAACATCAAGACTCATTTATATTCTGTAGTTTTTAAGTTTTAAACTGCAGAATAATAATGAATAAACCGAAATTAATAATTTAAAGAATGAATTAATGTGTCCAATGCTCAATCAATTAATTTAAAAATGAAATTGAATTAGAATGAACGCGCATTAATCTTTGAAAGCGCATACCATATGAAAATTTTAGTAAATTTTTAGTGAAAGGATTTTGTTTATACAAATATTCGATGTAGTGTATAGAATATCTATATTCTAATATGAGAAATTAACAGTCTAAGTCTTTCCTAAACGAGGCCATTTACCCATATAGAGTGCTAGGCCCGTATGACGTTAATGATTATTAGAAGATATTTCTAAAGAGTCGTATTGCTTGATAGTGGAGCACTAAGTGGGTGGTAAACTCCATCTAAAACTAAATATAACCATATCCGATAGAAAAGAATTCTGAATAGAGAGTTAAATAGTACGTGGAACTGTTTAGAAGTTAAGCCCAATGAACATAAACTAATTTTAGTGAAAAAAAACTGGAATCGATGAAAAAAATATTTATTAAATTTGATAATGGCATTAATGTCATAATATAATTCTAAAAATTTGCTTTAGCAAAAAATTTTAAATATAAATTTTATTGTGCATACTAAACATGAATTTACTAATTAATTTTATATATGAAATATCAATTTATTGTTGCAATAAAGTTTTTAATTGAATTACAAAATTTTTTCAAATATTTTTTTACTTGCTTAACGCTTACGTCATTATACGAGTAGCTCGAATATTTGACATTTCGAATTCGATTCAAGTAAATGACAATTAATTTGATACAAACTTTCTTACCTGCAATATTTTGCCTATTTAAATGCTTAGTAATACAATAGTTGTTGAATTATGAAGAGTTTACTACATTAACATAACGTGTAAATGTGAATTTTACATTGTAATAGAAAAATTTTCCAAGACATCATGTTCTTAACTAGGTACAAATTATTTACAACAAAAAAAAAATAAAAATAATAAAAATATGTAAAATGAAAATTAAGCAACAAAACTTTTGAACACAATCAATTAAAAAACAATATTCAATTCGTAATAGAAAATGTTTACAGTGATTGATGAAAACTATTTGATGTATTTGTAGGGTTTTTCTTAAAGGTATGCGAAACAATATTACACCATCATTGTATTACAATAAATTTTTTTTTAAATCTCGAAAAATTTCATATGAAATTGTCGAGGCAAAAAAAATGTATTACCGAAAGTATGTAAACAACCAAATAATATTTTGTCCTCTTTTTTGCCCTCTATCAGCTCTTTAAGAAACTATTTACTTCAAGCTTAATGAATAGAAATTTTAAGCTAGAAAAATTAGGCTTTTGTTAAAATTTTGTAAAAATTTCAGAAAATTTTAGAAACCGTTGAAATTTTGTTCTAACTCCGACACAAAATTTTTACTAGTTTTTCAACCTATAACTGATGTTGTTATTATTATTGTTACATTACTTTTTCAATTACCCTTTAGAAAAATATTGACAAATACACAAATTTTGAACACATATACAGTTATGTAATTTTAAGAAAAAGGGAGTAGAAGGAACCACGTATGCAAACATTAAGTTTTCTCAAAATTTTATCAACATACTTTAAAGCTAGAAATCCAATTAATTTTAATATGACGAAAAAAAGTAATAAAGTCAAAATTTCAACTTAATAAATAAAAAAATTTATTTTTTAGAAAATTCTTGATAATTATTATTAATTAATTAAAATTTAATATAGATAAGAGAAAATGCAATATTTTGTATGTACACATTTCGTAATAAAAATGTAAATATTAAAATAAAATTTCAGAAAGAGTAAAAAGTCTTTGTATTTTTTTTTTGTAGATTTTAAAAAAAATTATTTTTATAAGCTACAAATAAGTTGGAAAAATAAAGAAAAAAGTTAAAAATTTCTATTGTTTTTTTTTTCTTATTTTTGGTGCCTTTTTAAAAGTAGGAATGCTTTAATATAGAAACGAAATAAAAGTGAGATTTGAAATATACAGGGTGATTCAGAATGCTATACAACAACATATACCATTGGTTAGAAGATCGAAAATGAGTAAAACTTTTGTTCCGGACTGGGTGCCAGATCTCAAGAGTTTCCGAGTTCCACGAATTTTAACAAATTTTCAAGACATTTTTACCGTTGAAATCTGGCACAGATTCGAACAAATTTTCGATCCTCTAACTAATGGTATATGTTGTTGTATAGCTTTCTGAATCACCCTGTATATGAAGTGATTTCAGAATTAATACGTAAAATCTTTACATCTGTAAGAAAAACACTAAAATTTTGTGTGTTTTTATTTTTTTTTTTTCAATTATCTCAAATTGTACCCGAATTCCATAAAAACTCAATACACTTTAAAATTAACAAACGGACAATTGTCTTTTACTTGCTTAACACTCATGATATGGAATTTTGCTTTTATTTCATTAATCCAGATGGTCTGCCAATAAACATATTTTCTAATTACATAAATTACGATATTTAAAAACATATAAAAATAATGAAGAGGAATTTATTTATTTTACATAGCAATGTGTTTTATAAGAACTCGACACAAATTCGCGAATTTAAATGAACATTTAATATTGTTAGTCTCATTCAAAATTTTTCTAATATATTCTAATTTTATTATAATCTGTAAAATCTGACCAGTTGAAAGGACAAAACAACATTTTTGTTGTAAGAATACAACCGCTTCCTATTAAAAGTATATCGTAAAAACAGTACATTATAATAATTAAATTCATTTGGAGAAAATGGTAAATTCTAAAATATTCTGATGCAAATATTCTATTACAACCCACCTACATTATTTTCAAATAAATACCCGTATCATAAATAACTGTAACTAGCTGTTATCATTATACATTTCTATAATCTAACTAGCATTTAAAATTGGAACAAAATTTACAAAATAATTGCTAATATATCGCATAACAGTAGTAAAAATTTTTATACACGCATTTTTTATCTTATAACCATCGAAAAAAAAAATGTATGTACTAAAAATATTTAATAATAAGTATAGGATGCTGCGTTTACACACGTACGCTAATCGGATGTCAAATAAAAATTTAAGGAATACATTTCCTTGTCCCTCTTTTGTTTTGTTTTGTTTTCTTTTCTAGTCTATTCTTAAGTCAATTGGAGAGTGATTATCTAAATTTCTATCTCTTCCCACCTAAGTATTTACATAATATGTTTAAAAAACCTACAAGAAGAAAAAAACAATAATAAACTGCTGTTAAAACAAATT